AAAGCAGAAGTATGAGCAGAAGGTGAGGTTGGGTGCTCAGGGGGCACGTCTCTGCTCGCTGCCAGCTGGGAGACTTGGAGGAGACTGGCTGTGTGGGAGGGTTTTCAGGCTGCCTGTGCCACCTCCTTTCCTCCCACCATGGGTCCCTCCGGGCAGGCCAACGTCCCCACTCCCTCCCGGCAGGTCACGGACTTGCACCAGGAGCTGGCTGAAGCCCGCAGGGCACTGACCGAGCTGGAGTCAGAGCGGGAGCAAAAGCAACGGGATTTCGACCGCAAGCTGCTCCTGGCCAAGTCCCGGATTGAAACAGAGGAGGTGAGTCTCTTGGGAAGGGCAGCGGGGAGCTGCTGGCCCCATCGCCCTGCCTGGGCTGATCTCCATCCCCTGGGTCCCGCAGGCAGAGAAGGAGAGGCTGGCCATGGAGCTGAGAGACCTGCAGCAGAGGATGCGGTTCCTGCAGGAACAGCTGGCTCCGGTCACCAGGCAGCGGGAGTACCAGGAGAAGGAGATCCAGAGGCTGAACAAGGTGGGGGCCAGGGCACAACCCCTCCTCCTGCCTAGCTCCTTGTCCAGGCAGGAGCTTGTGTCAGACGATGCCCACTACATCTCCTTAGGCTCCCAGGAAAGGGGGATGGGGGGGTCTGTAGTCCCTCTTGCTCTTGCCCAGTTATATCTGCTTCCCACGCTGGGCGTGTGCCCATGGCCCTCTGGAGATGTCATGGGCACAGCACCTTGCTCTGACCCCCCCCTCCCTGCTGCTCCTCTTCCTCTCCAGGCGCTAGAGGAGGCCCTGAACGTCCAGGCCTCCCCGCCACCCATCTTTGCCAGCACCATGGAGCCAGCGGGGAAGGTGCCACAGCAGGAGCTGCTGACCCAGAACGAGCTCCTCAAGCAGCAGGTAGGGCAGGACACAGAGCTGCTGGAGGCAGGGAGGGAGCTATGTGCCCTGGACCTCCCTGGCAAAGAGCCTGCTGCGGCTGGGAGCAGCCCAGCAGTCCTAGCGGGTATCTGTGCCACGGTGGTGGGGACCGAACTCAGCATGCTCCACGCCTTCAGCTGGAGGGACCACAGCCATGGGCCACCATGCCAACCCACATGCCTGGGGCTTGGCATAGCTGGTGTGGTCAGAGATGGCAACGCAGTGACAGGAGGTGCTTGGGGGAGCTGTCCACCCTTGGCCAGGTACACCCACACCCCTCCCTCCTGCCAGGTGAAAATTTTCGAGGAGGACTTCCAGCGGGAGCGGAGTGACAGGGAGAGGATGAATGAGGAGAAGGAAGAGCTGAAGCAGCAGCTGGAGAAGCTGCAGAAGCAGCTGGTCCTCTCCAACAACCAGGTGAGCAGCGCTGGGTGTCACCAGCAGGACCCTGGGAGCCCCATGTCCCCTCTGTGTGTGACAGAGGTGTGCTCATCCCCAGCATCACAGCCCCCATACCCATCATGGAGCAGGGGCTGAGCGGAGACAGAAGGGCTGGAGCGGTGGTTTTGCTGCTGCTTGTCCCTGCCAGAGCATCTCCTTTCACTCGTCTCTTCCTCTTGCCCCTCTCCTGGGGGATCAGCGCAGGCATTCCCACAGGGCATGGCAGCATCCACTGCCCCATAGACACGGGGGGGGTAGCAGGGTGGGCTCTGCACTAACCCCCCCTTGCTCCCAGCTGCGAGCCTCCAAGGACGACTGCCAGCGGGAGAAGGAAGAGAAGGAGAAGCTGAAGAAGCTGCTGAAACAGCACAAACAGGTGGGGGCGGGGGAAAAACCCCTTCCCGGATGGAGGGGCTGGGGGCTGTGGGCCTGGCCCTCGTCTCCTGTTGGAGGGGGCAGCTCTGAGCTGGGCAATGGGTGGTGGCGGCGGGCTGCCCTCAGGGCTCTCCCCAGCATCTCCCCCGGCTCCTTGCAGGCTTCGGGAGAGAGGCTGCACCCTGAGCCACTGCCAGGGCCACTGGGCCCTGCCTGCCCCATGTACCAGTACCAGTACAGTTCCCCCGTGGCTCACCCCATGTACCACGGCTTCGACGAGTGGCAGCAGAGCCGATACCCACCAGCAATGCCAGGCGAGCACACGCCAGGACAAAACTTTCACCATTTTCCCCCGGTGAGTGTCTACCCCTGCCGGCACGAGGGGAAGCAGAGGGTCCCATGCGAGTGGGTCTGGGGCTTGCTGCCAAGCAAGCGGCTCTTCCAGGGCCACCGAGTCACCGAGCAGGGAGCTGAGCGCATGTCCTGTTGGCACGTGAACACTCAGCCCTCATCCTCCTCCTCCTCACACCCTGGCAATTGAATATGGAGAGCAGCCTTGTGATTCATATCTCTGATAATTCACTGTTTCTGTTCCATCTCCTCCTGCAGCCCGAGTACCCCTGGCGCCCGCCCTGCGCCATGGCTCGCAGCCAGAACGCTCAGGCAGTGGCCGGGGTGAAACCGGTCCCCAAGGACTTGGGTAAGGCTTGGACCCTCGGCGAGGAGAGTGCCACTGTCTTTTACCCCGAGACCCTGGGCAGTTGGCTGACCACTTGTGGGAGGGATGGGGGAACAGCTTGCCCAGGCAGTGGCCATTTCCCTTCAGCCCCCACCTCTGATCAGCCGAGGGGATGATTTTGCTGTGGGATTGGTCCCTGCTGCATCCCCTCCACCATCCCCCCAGCATCTGAAGGCAGGCGTGAGCCTGAGCCCCAGCAGCCTGCAGCGTTATGGCAATTGGTGCTCAGGGGATAATGACCATCCCATGGCTGGCATCCCTTCAGTGGGGCTTGTCTGGGTACGAAGAGCTGCGCTTACACCGTGCCACCCCTCTCTTGTGTCTCAGAACAGGCAGGTCCCCGATTGCCCTAACGCCAAGGACCGGCTGCGCTGCAATACTGGCAGAAGAGGAGTAGGGTGTGTGTGTGTGCCTGTGTGTATATATCTAGGAGCTTCCTCCGGCTGCCATCCCCATGCGTGGACATGCAGTGGACGTGGCCGCACCCGTGGCCTGGAGTGGCTCAGCAGTGCATCCCCTCGAGGAAAGTGTGAAGGAGGGACCGAAGGTGCCGTCATGGTGGTGGCCAACGCAGGGTCAGTCCCCTACGGCCATCCCCTTCCCCACGAGGCGTCAGGCCTGGCATCGCTGTAGACCCGAGCCAGGACTTCAGGGAAGAGGAGCTGGTGTTTCCCAGGAGCGTGCCAGGAGCTGCCCTGGTCCAGGGGCTTCGGTTCAGCCCCTGGAGGAGCGGGTGACGGCAGGGACTCTCCTGGCAGTGGGAGATCCCGTGCTCGCAGGCAGGTGCCTGCCGCAGCCACGGCCCGGGCTGAGGGTGGTTGGTGTCTTTGTATTTATTTAAGGACTGAAGCATAGCTGAGTCTCTCTAGTTTTATCCTGAAAGCTGCTTTCCCTAGGGGAGCCTCTGCACAGGACTGGGAGCGATGCCAGGGCTGCTGGTCCCCATGTGCTCGGTGTAGCCACGGGGCCAGAGCAAGGACAAGGGGAACCCAACCCCTGCATGGGTCTGTTGCCCCAAGTGCATGCCCCCCACCTCCCTCCGGGTGCTGGGCTCAGCCCCTTGCCCTCCCCTCTCCTGCCCCCTACCTCTGCCAGGGCAGGGAACCCCCCGCTCCCCCCTCTGCCTTTCCGTGCAGCAATGGCCTTGGGGCCAGCCTCAAATTGCACAGATCAAATCTTGCTCCTGGAAATCAAGTCTGGAGGGGGGAAAAAAAAAGAACAACCAACCCTCTTTCTGTAAGCATGGTTGTCACGTGCATCACAGCAGGAGCCACGGTGCCCCAGCATGCTCCTCATAGGGAGATGGTCCCCCCTCCCAGCCACTTTTGCCCCCCTGTGCTCTGCACCCCATCCTCTCCCCAAGTGCTGGCCTGTGATGATAAATCCATGTTTGCAGTTGACCTGAAAAAAAATTGAGTTTCTCCAGCTGGGAGCCATCCCTCCCTGCTGGTACCTCCAAGCTGGCCACTGTGCCCCCAACTCTTTCCCCCCGCCCCTGGCCAAGAAGCGGGGCTGTGTGTTTGCAGAGCCTTTATTTGGCGTTCCTGTGGCAGGGGGCGAGGGGCTGGCCATCCCCAGCCAGGAGAGGAGCACGTCTCTGTGCCGGGACCACAGGCAGCTTGATTGCAC